ATGTCCCCACAGCAAAGAGGCCAGTGAGTGTGCAACTTGATGGATGTGACATCCCCGAGGACCAGTCTTTGGGCCAACCAGGCTCTTCTCCACCCTGCCAAGATGCGACGTCATTCAGAAGGGGTTTCCTAGAAGGAGGAGAAAATGACTTGAAAAAGCTGTCAACAGTTTCTATCATGAAACTGTCACACCAGGGAGAAGAAAGGCCCTGTGGAGTCATCTAGCCTTGGAGGTGAGGCCCAGGGCAGCTGCTGTAGGGAACAATCGAGAAAGGAGGCCAGCTGGAGTGGGATTCTTGCTTTGGAGCACGAAGGTGGAGGAGGAATCCTCCCTCCAGCCAGGCTCACCAGCCCTTCCTTTCCTTTGGGATTTTGATCCCTCAATAGCCCCCTCTTCCCCTTGCTGCTTTCCTTGTTTTTTTTTTTTTTGCTCTCAGCTTATAAGAAAGAGAAGAAAACTTACTTAGCTCTTCAAGAAATTGCCCTGAAAACAAAGAGAAATAGGTGATGAGTGGAAGATGACTAACTCCTCCCACATCCTCCCTGTGGAATTCATAGTCACCCCCCTCCTCCCTTTCCACTAAGGGACCCCACAGATCTCAGTAAGTGGTTCTCTTCATGGATCCTCTGAGGAGCCTGGAGTTGGCCATGTGGACAGAGCAGGAAGGAAATTCCAGCTCTGAATCTTGAGCCCTGGTTCCAACCACTCTCTTTATGTTTCCCACTCAGGACTGGCTTGATCCCCTGCTGCCCAGTGGTCCTGTTTGCTGCCCCAGCACTGCACCTGCTAGTCGTCCGTGTAGCCAGTTGTAGCAGATGATCAAGGCCACCAGGGGTCCGAGAACTGGCACGATTACAAACAGGGTTATCTTCCAGCAGGGCACCCTCAGGAAGTGGGGATCTGAATCGTTTGCCACAGAACAAACAGGATTAACATGTGTTCCCCCTTGTGTCCCACCCACCCCTCTCCATTTAATATTGGGTTTCTTTTGAGTGGTGGAGGGGGGAGGTTCTTAACCTGGGTTCCAAAATAGTTTGTGGATAGAGTCCAGGGAGTTCATGAATTTGGATGAGAAAAGCATTACATTTTTATTTTCACTCACTTCAAACTGAATTTAGCATTTTCTTACACTAAAAATGTGGCTAACAAACCAGTTATCAGTAGTACCTGTGACTTTATCACCAATGGAAACCACATTCCCTTCAGAGTTGTTGCAGAAATCTCAGAATACTGTTTTATCAATATTTTGAAATCAAATTATTAGACCTGCTGCTACACTTTATTATTTAATGTATATTTTGTATTTAGTATATATTATTTAATGTACATTTGTTACTTTATCACAAATTTGTTTATATTTTGAAAACTATTTCAAAACAATGGTTTTCTTTGTAATCCTATGTGTTATATTTTATGGGTACAGTTCAAAACATTCTGGGAAGGGAGGGGTCCATGAGGCTTCACCAGATTGCCGAAGAGTACAAAAAGTTAAGACCTTTGTTATTTGAATCCTGTAAAACAAAGATCCTGTTCCTTCCCTTTGAGTTGCAGACTGTGTGTGTTGTTTTTTCTGCACACTGATTAAATGCCAGCATGGAGCCAGGGGCACCTCCAGCCTCAGGAGGAGAGGCTGTTCAGGAAGGCTGCTCAGAGCAGGGACCATCTTATAATTTCTTCAACATCCATTCAATGAATATTTGGGTGCCCTTCTATTGTAGGCATTGTTATTAGGCACTGGACAATCTGCAGTGAATAAAAAGGACTGAGACCATGTCCTAGGGCCAATATTCTTTTTTTTTTTTTTTGCTGCATGGCATTTGGGATCTTAGTTCTCCCACCAGGGATTGAACCCTCACCCCCTGCAGTGGAAGTGCAGAGTCTTAACCATTGGACCACCAGGAAGTCCAGGCCAACATTCTAGTGGGGTTTGATGTCTTCACTCTTCCCCCAAGTCGCCTTCCCTGAGGAGTCACATGTAGTTACTCATTCTGTACTGTGAAAACTCATTCCTCTGTGTGAGTTGATGATGTATGTGTACTTTGTTCTCCAGTTAATTTATGTATATGTATCACCTCCCCAGCTAGACATCGAGTTGATGTGCAAAGGATCTGTTTACCTCCCCTTTGTAATTCCTGAAAAAAGAAGTAATGTACATAAAGTCCTTGTAATTCCTAGAATGTTAACATTTGGGAAGCTGTTACAGTGCCAGGTACATGAAAGCGTAATGTAAGTGTTGCTCTTATCTAACGCATCCTAGGTGCAGATGATGACATTTAAAGAAAGAACAAGAGGGAGGAAACCAACCAGAAGCCAGGGGTCCTTACGTCCCCAGGTAACAGGAGCCGAGTGAAGCACCAAGCTGACCTGGGGGGCTGGGTACCCCAGGACTTACCAAAAGTCCGGTGGAGATTCTCTGAAAGAACAAATGGAAAGGGATTATTAGTATGGCACTCAAAACAATCTTTTCTCCTCTGAGCCTTTGTTATTTAGTCACTTTAAATTGTAAGTGACACACGATGGAGGAAAGGAAGCTGTAGGATTTTACTTCTACTCTGGCTGAAGGCAGGGAAGAGGAATGAGACTCTCTGACTGGTTATAGGAGTTTTAAATAGTGAAGTTCCCGCCTGAAGGGAGCACAGGGTATTGGGACAGAGGCAGAGATGGTCTGAGAAAATGACCATTTCAGTTACACCAGAAGACCTGGAGGGAGGCATGGGGGAGGGAAGGTGCCTGGAACTCACCTATCTCTGCTGGAATTTTTCCTAAAATAGAAAAAGGTGACATTTTTAGTTCCAGCTCAGGCACTAGATGGGGCCCCTCCACACCCATTGCCTTGGGCCTTTGTGCAGGGTATTTCTCAGTAGCCCATGAACACCCTTAGAGTGAGAAGAGCACCAGATGTGAAAGCAGGAGTTCAGGCTCATTCCCTGACTATTGCCTGGGTTAAATATTGGGTTAAAGAAAGTGGAGAAGCTCAGTAGACAGCGATGTTCACCAATGCCCCAAACCAATCTAAGGTTTTATTACCGCCCCCACTGCTCTCTGCTCCTTTTCTTGCTGGTTCTCAGTTCACAATGTCACTCCACCCCCTGGGTTGTCACTTAGTAAATCTAAAGCTACTTCCCATCTGAATGAGGAAGGAAGGAACTAAGCTTTTAGTTGAGCAGCTGCTTTGTGTCGGCTCTGTACTAGGTGATTTACATAACACTGTCCCCTTTAATCCTCCCATAACTTGTAGGAGGGAGGGTGTTATCTCTACTTGACTCAGACTAGGCAACTGAGGCTTGGAGAGTTCATGTCATTGTCTGAACTGGATCTAAACCCAGGCTAGCCAACTCCACTGATCAGGTTCTTTCTGCTCAGCCATGTGGGCTGAAGACCTTTCTCATGTGGGAGAAGAGGTAACTGAGTATCTGGGATGAGGTCAAGGGAAGAGAAGATCCCACCAATATCCCCCCTCATATACTCCAAGCCCTCCTTGCTGCTTTATCCTCTTAGGAATGGGAGGGGGAGGAGAATTGGAGGCCCTGTGAGCTTTGGCTTTGAGAACGCTTGGTTGCGGGGAGAAGTCTCAAAATGAAAGCTCTCGGGCACAAGAGAGGAGCTTCAGACGGTTGAACCCGTGTCCTCAGTGTTGGATGGAAAAGGAGGAAACAACACCTACTATGTGGTAGGGACTTTTACTTACAGTATCTTTATTTAAACCTAGTAGCACAGACTTGCCTGATTCTGAAGCTCACACTCCCCCAGTTGCATGAGCTGCTGTGTATGTTTCAGGGGCCAGAAGATAGGGGTTTAGGCCTGAGCTCTGCCACTTATAAGCTGTGCCAGCTTGAGTAAATCTCTGAACCACTCCAGGCCTCAGTTGCTTCCTCTCTAAAATGGGGCTATTATATATCAGCCCTACCTCATAGGGAAATGAAAGGCCCTATTATCTAAATGATATTTACATTCGGTAGGATGTAAAACTTGTCATTATTGAGTTCTGAACCCAGAAGTCCCTCAAAAATAAACGTTAGCTGACCAAGCTCCAAGAGACCAGGCACTTCAGGGAAGGGTCCCCAGCCAGCCACCCTCCAGCCTGTACCTCTGAGTCTGCGCTGCAGGCAGAGGAAGGCAAGGCCCACAGTGATCTGCAGAAGGAGCACAGGCAGAACCGCGATGAGCGCCAGCACTCCAGGGTTGATCCAGTAGAAGGGATCTGAAAGGCAGAACCGGGGGGCCCAGCACTGTGTTATCAACACCCAGCACAGTGCCCACGGCTCCATGAGTCAGGGTCAAAGAAGATGAGTCAGAACTAACACCTAAGCTTAGGTTTAAAGGAAAAGTAAGTGGTTGTTTCTGGGAAGGGCCAGTGGTTTAGAATGACAGCCGTATACTGGGCCAGTCTTGGAGAGTTCTGAGAACCACGAAAGGGACTTAGATCTGATCCTCAAGGTCACGGGGTACACTGAAGCATTTCATGCTGAGGAGTGACAAGATCTGATTTACTGACTGCAGGACTGGAGGAGGGGGTCGAAGGCAGTCAATTAAGAGGCCATGGTAATGGTGAAAGTAAAACACATGAGCTTAGGACAGTGGTGGTGGTGTAGGAAGTCAAGGTGAACTTAAATAGGAAAAAAAATACATATTTTCAGTAAACTTTAAGCTGAAATTTAGTGTTTCTTTCAATTATGTTTGTAGGCAACACTCCACAACAATATGAACAGAACCTGAGACTTTGTCATCCCTAAAAATCACAAATATTTTCATATCACGGTACAGAAATCTCAAAATATCACTTATGTTCATTTTGAAATGACACTATTATTAGGGCCACCCCATATCTTACTTTAATATTTTGATAACTGTATTTCAGTACAAGTATGTTTTATGCATTTCAAATATCCTTCTGAGAAGGGGTTCATCGACTTTACCGGTCCGACAAAAGGGTGCATGACACAAAGAAAAGTTAAGAACCTTTCTTCTGGAGCTTTTGAGAAAGTAAGATCCGCAGACATGGAGTGGGAAAGATAAAGACACAGGGGATGAACTTTGGCTCTCTGGCGCCATCTATTGCCCATTCTCGAGTCGGCTCAGTGCCCCAAAGCTTTTCCTGTATAATCTCAATGTTCAGGGCCGGCCCTTGTCATCTTGTCCTCTGCGTTAGGGGGCTAGATAAAGATACTGCCATCAGGGTAGGCATTAAGTCACAGCAAACAACATCAAACTGGTTTCTTAGGTATAAATACCATCCTTCAAGCTGCGGTTTCAGGCTCTTGTCTGTTACTGTGTTCCCCAGGAGAAAACACAGCCAGCTCTACTTTCAAAATTCTCATTGGAAGTTACCTGGAGCAACACTGTTTAACAATTACATATTTTAGTTCCTTTTTTTGTACACCTTTTATATTTTAACAAAGGGTTAGGATCACAAAAAGAGAGAAAAAGAGACATTATGAGACTTCTGATGTAAAGTGATATGAACGAAGTATATAGCATCACCTATGAAATATGCTTGACAAAATAAATCAAACCTGAATCTGATTGTTCATATCCTAATCTATAAGTTTACAGAAAATAAAAGGTATGGAACACTGTGTTAAACAACATGGGAATGAAATCAGCAAAATCTAGATCGTGGGAAACTCTACAGGGCGAATACCGACCTGTGGATCTTGTTTGGATTGGATTCAAGCAAACCAACTGTAAAAATATATTTATAAAACAATCATGAAAATGTGAACACAGACTGAGTATTGTTAAGAATTTTTGTTAAATTTTAAAGATGTAATAATAGTATTTTGGTTATGATTTTGTTTCGTTTTGTTTTGTTTTTGAGTTTTTCTATTTGAGACATACGGTTTTGAGGATTTAGCAATGACACGATAATGCTGCCTAGGATTTGCCAGAGGAATTCATCTGGGGAGGATGGTGATGAGTGGGGTCTAGTGAAACAGGTGGCCTGTCCTTGGGTCATAACTGTTGCAGTCAGGTGATGGGAACTTGGAGGCTCATTATAATAATCTCACTACTTCTGCACATGTTTTAAAGTTTCATAATGAAGAGTTTAAAGAAAGGTTTAGAGACAACTAGTAATAAAATCACAAAACTGACAAGAAAAATACAAAGTTGGAAGGAGAGATTAGAAACTCTTTAGAGAAAGAGGTGAGGTAATTACACCAGCATTACACCAGAAACTTGGCCATCACAAAGTTACTGCATTTCAGTCCTAAATTGGTCTCAGCTTCCTGGATCCTCACGCTAGGTGGGTGGTCCATCATTAAACTCTCTTTTTTAAAAGACTCTTAGGCATGCAGATTATGAGAAAGGAGAAGAGGGTCGGAATGTGGAAATCCACCCAAAGGAAAACTTTCTCCCCAGGCAGTTCATTTGTTTGTTTGTTTGCTTGTTGGGGTGGGGTGGGGATGTACTGGGGGAGGCAGTTATTGAGCCAGGAAGCTACTGAACAGGAATGAGGAAAATCGGAAAACTGGAGAGATCCTCACTATCAGACTTCCTTGCAGGTAAAAATCCCTCAGTGTAAACAGCTGTATGAAGAACATTCTGTGACACACAAAGCTGTTTTCACAACCCTGAGATCCCTCTCTAGAAATAGTGCTTTGTTATCCTGCATACAATGCCGTCTTCTGGTCCCAGTACTGCAACAGTGGCCCTTGAGATACAAAAGTGATCAATTGTCTGATGTTTGCCCAGCAGGTGGGGAGGAGGGAAGGGAAATGACCTGAGGCCCAGGCCTCAGAATATGCTTGTGTCTCAATTAAATAGCAATTAACTTTCAAATCTCCCCCTCCTTGTCCGTGTCTTAACCCCTCCGGGATAAAACAAAAAAATAAATTTCAAAGTCATCCCTCATGTAAAGCATACCACAGGGCTTCCCTGGTGGCGCAGTGGTTGAAAGTCCGTCTGCCGATTCAGCGGACACGGGTTCGTGCCCTGGTCCGGGAAGATCCCACATGCCGCGGAGCAGCTGGGCCCGTGAGCCATGGCCGCTGAGCCTGTGCGTTCAGAGCCTGTGCTCCGCAACGGGAGAGGCCACAACAGTGAGAGGCCCGTGTACCGCCAAAAAAACTAACCAACCAAACAAAAAAAACCCAAACATACCACAAATGAAATTCTGGAGAAAGGAAGCAGTGGAGGTAAAATCTATAGGTAACATCTCTTTCTATGATTATATTCAGATGTTAGTTCTACTTGTTTAATTCCTTGCAACTATGTTTACCAGGAATATATTGTTTAATAATGTTCCTCATCTAATTAAACACCACAAGCACATCAACTGAGGAATTCACTGTAATAGGATTTGACCAGTTTGACTCCTTAGGAATAAGGCCCTTGTTTTTAACAAATAAATGAAAAGACAATCCAAAGCAAAACAAGAAAGGAAAAGGTCCACTTGGATACTTTGATTAACTTTCAGATAAGTAATATTCCCCTCTAGTAGCACAAAATAATCACAAATGGATTATTTTGGATTTTGCTGCCTACATTTTTCATTTTTTCTGTTTAAAAATTTTTTAAATTTCTCTATACGTACCCACAAATGTGCATGTTATATACACACTTTTATATAAATGGATAAATTTTTTGTTCCCTAGATTCTGTAGCTTGCTTTTATCACTCAACAATACCTTGTAAAATGCCTCCAAGCTGTCTGGAATGGCCCTACAACAATCTTTTAAATGGCTGCATGATATTCACTGTATGGGTAACAGTGTTTACTCAGTCACTTCCCTACTCATGGGCACAGACTCTGATTCTGGCTTCCTTACATCATTACAGAATAATGATGTAACGGACAATGTGAGCATATGAATTCTCAGAGATACTGATGTGCGTATCTCTATGGAGTTAATTCCCAGGAATGAGCTGTTTGGGTTGAAGGATCTCATCTCAATTGAGAGAATGACTGAAGGCTCAAAGGGAGGTCCTGGCCACCCAACAGACAATACCTACTATTATAGACACTACTCACCTTCCACTTTCAATTCTATTGCTGCCTCCTCTTGGTAAGAATGATCTCGGAAGAAGCAGGTGAAACCTCCTTCATCTGAGAACCTTACATTCCGGATCCTGAGGGTCACCTTTCCCTCCCCAATAGTCTCTTTCAGCAGCTCCGTGCGGCCCCGGTATTCAGGCGCCTGCTCTTCATCTTGGTCCTTGCCATTTCGGTAGAGATGAACCACCCTGGAGAAGGGGGGTCGGTACCATCCCACCTCCATGCCTGTAGCATTCTTTCCTGGAGATATGCGACAGGGTAATTCCGCTTCATCCCCCACCAGCGCCCGGATGGGCTGCCCTGGTCCCATTACTCTGAACTGTCCTACCCAAGACACAAAAGAAAAGAAACTGAGCATCAGAGGGAACCTTGACAAACAAACCCTTCATGGGAGGGGCTACTTCTAAACAGGGAAAGAAGAAGACACTTGATCTTTAAATAGAATTCTAGAGCCAGGGAGAAGCTCAATTTTTCTTAAAGGTCTCTGGTTATAGAGATACTGTGAGTTCCCTGGACAGAACATCCTAGCATGCGGTCATCCCAGCCTTTAGGTCCCACCTTGCAATGTGGTCCAGCATCTTGCAGTTTAACTGTCGCATGGGCCTCCCTGTTCAGTTTTGGCCAACTTGATCCTTCTTCTCCCCTTGGAGGTTTTGCTTTGGTCGTTCCTCCACCACCACCTCTCCATCACTTCTCAGCCCTCTGTACTTGTTCACACCCTGGTCCCAAATTCTTCTCCTCTGAGATCTTCCACTCTAGAGGTGGCGGATCTTCTTTCCTTCTTTCCTCCTCCTTCTTTTCCTCTGTATCTTCAGCCCTCTCTACAGCTCCTGGGCCCTGCCCTGTACATGCTCCCTGTCTTTTTTCCTCTGTGGGATATATCTCCTTGTCAGCCTTGGCACTACTAGAAGATGAAGCTGGTTTCTCCATTAGACCTGCAGCCATCTCCCGAGGGAGTATATGTTCTGAGCCTTCTCTGTTAGGCGGCTCCCTGAGATTGGGAATCTGTCTTTGGAGAGCAGGGATCCTCTGTAAAAACTTATTAGTGCCTGATAGTGTGAGACAGAACTCTCAAACATGATGAGACACTACAACTCAACAAACATTTATCATGATATACCATGGGATAGGCACAACTAAGCATATTATATATACCTTATCTAATTGAACCCTGACAGCAACTCCAAGAGGCTGTTATTATGATAGTCCCCGTTTGATAGGTGAGAAAGCAAAGTTGGAAAGATAGGTAAGACCAAGTTCAAGGAGAGCCCTGAGTTAAGGTCGCCTGATGGATTTGGGTCTCCTTCTGAAGGCTGTAGGGAAGCACTGGCGGTATCTGAGGGGAACCATGTCAGCACATCTATGTTTCGAAAAGATAACTTGCATGGCAACTTGAGGGTGAGTTGAAGGAGGTGAGCCCAGGGAACTAGCCTTCCTGTTCTCAGGGTCTCCCCAGGGCAGGAATAAAGAGAAATCTTACCTGCAGAGCTGGAAGACAGCTGGAGGAGGAAGAGGAGGGAGGGGAGGCAGCTGGGCAGAGAGGAGCTCAAAAAACTGGCCATCTCCACTGTCAGTGGGGAAAAAGAGCCCCTGCAGCAGGGTCAGGCCAAGCAGAGGCCCTTGGGGTGCGTGTCCCCACGGCTGAAGAAGCCCCAGGGGAGGATCGGGGAGGGCAGAGCTGCCCTGGCCCTGCTTCCTCCCCAGCAGAGTCGCAGCTGTGCTCCCAGGCACAGCCCCACGTTACCCTTGCCAGGCACTTACACAAAAGGGCTACAGAGCCAGGGGATGACCAGGGTTTGCCTTCCCCACCCCCTCAGAGCTATGGAGCAGAGGCTGCCTGGTACTGGGCCTTCCTCCCCCACTCTCTCCCAGCGGCCAGCCTTTGAGGGGGCTTCTAGGATCTGACCTGTTGGGATGGATCACTCACTGGCCCTCAGGCTACAGCTTGTCGGTGCAATCTGCAGGGTCCCTTCAATCCCTCTCCTCCAGGTATTAGCCAAAAGATAGGGATCTGTGTTGGATTTTTAAAAAGGAAGGAACATTTAGACTTGGTTTCCTATTTCTATGGTCTCATAACTGTCATTACCAGGACATTCTTTCCTCTTGATGTCTGACCTTTCTCTCTCCCACCGCAAATCCAAACGCCCTTCCTTATGTTCAGATGTGTTGCTTGGACTTAGTTAGCTTCTCCCTCCCAAAGAATACATTTCAAAGAGTCATGAGTTGGGACTTCCTTGGTGGCTCCGTGGATGAGATGCCATGCTCCCAATGCAGGGGGCCTGCATTCGATCCCTGGTCAGAGAACTAGATCCCACATGCATGCTGCAACTAAGAGTTCTCATGCCACAACTAAGGAGCCTGCCTGCCGCAACTGGGACCTGGTGCAACCAAATATATGTGTGTATATATATATATATAAGTAATGCGTTTAAAAAAAAATAAAGTCGTGAATCAAGTGTCAGGAGTTGATGGTCACCTGTGCTCCAAGAAGCAAGCATGAAGAGAGCAAGATCTGCAAAGTCAGCGGCTGTCAATCAATACAGGCACTGAGGACAGATCAGCAGTCAGGACACAGCCCCCAGCCTGGGCATCACTCTCTAATTTCCTGTCACAGGGGAAAGTGAGATCTGGGATGGGAATACGATCTTTCTCCTTATCCCCAGACTTGGCTGATCACTAAAGAGTGAGACCAGTATCAGCACCAAGTTTGAAAAATATATTTTCCAATCTTAAGGATGTCTCATCAAAAAAAAGTCAGGATGGACAATTTAAAGCCATGCTGTCCAATACTGTAATCACTAGTCACATGTGCCCATTTAAATTAAATAAAATTAAAAATTCAGTTCCTTGATTGCACTAGCCATGTTTCAAACGATCAGTAGCACATATAGCTAGTGGTTACTGCATCGGACAGCACAAATATAGACCAGATCCATCATCACAAAAGATTATATTGGGCAGCACCGTTCAAGGGCTAGGAACAGAACAGGGACAGACATTTTCTGCTCTTGACTGAGATGAGCATGAGGGGCTAGAAGGATGGACTCCAGTCAGCTGAGTCTGGGAGTGGTGTATTCTTTTTTTCTGCAAGGCGGCTGTAGTTTGGGCACAAGCAGGCTGGCTATTCTGAAGCCGTGAGGGTGAAAGTCAAGGTCTGGAGGGATGAATGAGGTGGGAAGAGGAGTCTCTGTGCTTGCCTGACTTCCTCTCACGTGGGGATTCTCTCCTTCTAGAACCTAACATATCCTGTGATGCTCTTCCTCCAAGATACAAGTTCAGGTTCAGGTAAGAAAGTTATGCACAAGATGCTTTCCTGGACAGGGTTTGGGGGTCGTAGGGTGCTTGAAATTGTCTGGCACTAGTCCAGTTGTCAAAAGCTGGATAGGAGGGCTTCCCTGGTGGCGCAGTGGTTGAGAGTCCGCCTGCCAATGCAGGGGACATGGGTTCGTGCCCCAGTCCAGGAAGATCCCACATGTCGTGGAGTGGCTGGGCCCATGAGCCATGGCTGCTGAGCCTGCGCGTCCGGAGCCTATGCTCCGCAATGGGAGAGGCCGCAGCAGTGAGAGGCCCGTGTACCGCAAAAAAAAAAAAAAAAAAAAAGCTGGATAGGAGATCAGGGTGGAGTGGAGGGTTAGAAGATCAGAGCGGGTCAGGAGCTAGCCAACCAAAACCACTTATAACGACTACACCCCCTACCTCTAAAGAGCTCACCTCACTTGCCTCCATGCCCTCGACTGCCTCACATCTTTGGAAAGGGGGTGGATTTCTGGAGCTGGGGCGAGCAGTCCCTTGGATGGCATGGTCTCTGGACAAGGGAAAGGGGCAGGGCTACCAGCAAAACAAAGCCGGTGGAGTTGCCATTTACAGAAATCTGGGTGTAGGAACATCTGGGTTTTGCTGGGCATGGTGCATGGTGTGGACATGTCTAACAACCCTGTGTTGTTGGTTAGGCTGGTCATTTCCTTCAGCACTTAAAAGTTACTTTAATTTTGTGTGGCGTATGTTATATGATCTTGCAAATATTCTTGGGTTGTTTCTCACTCTCCTCAGTAATTTCCATTTGATCTACACCTCTCACCAGGTCTGATAACAGGCCGTGTACACAGTCATGTATGCAAAGTGACATACTATAAATATGTTAATGTGTATATTAACACACTATCCGTATGTAAAATAGTAAGCACTCAATAAATGGGAGCTTACCTAGATGTTACCCAATAGCAGTACTCCGTAAGTTTTCCAGAGAATGTGTAAAATATATATCATGCCCTGTTCTGCTTCTTGTGTTCTTCTTGTGGTGTTTACTTAATAATGCATAATTCCATATTAATACATAATATAGCCCTCTTGAACTTTTGAAAATGGGTTCTTATTTATTTGTTTATTTGGGTGTTCATTTGCTTCTGTTTCCAAATCCAAAAGGTATAAAATGACATACTTTGAAAATCGCCCAGCCATCCTGGGCCAACTTGTTTTCTCTGAATTCTTCCACATATGTGCCACTAGAGGGAGCCCCACAAGAAAGTTCCTTCGTGTGAGAACTCATCTACCCTCCCTCCCTTTTTAACATAAATGGTAACAACAATTTATCTTGGAGACAATCTATATTAGTACCTAAAGAACATCCTTGTTATTTTACACAGCTACACAATATTTTATGGCATGAATGTATCATACTTATTTAACTAGCTTCCCAGGACATTTAGATTGTTTCCATTTTTAAAATATCAATTTTACTAGGTTAAATTAAAATGTATTCAATTAATTTACATCAATAGATATTTAACAGAAATGATGTGCGTCAAGCTTTATATTAGGCTCTGATTGTAAAAGTTTCAGTAAGATGAAGAAAAAAAAATTTTTTTTGGCCGCCCTGTGCTGCAGCTTGTGGGATCTTAGCTTCCTGAACCCCGGCCCCCTGCAGTGGAAGCCCGGAAAGCCAGGGAATTCCCAAGAAGTTTCTTGCTTTCTTTGTAGTTTCACCCTTGACCTGTCATGGTGGCTTTGTTTTTGTTTTTGCTATTTAATATCACATTCCTTCAGGCACTGCGATACTTAGGGGGGTGAAAGCAGGCCTTCCCATGTGCCTGGGGTCCTGCCTCTCAACTTGGCAAGACAGGTATATATGTCTGACCCCACCTCTCCCCTGTGCCCAGGCTCCTGCTGGGAGTGGGCAGCACAGAGAGTGGCAATGGTTCCTGGGGGGAGTTGAAGGCAACTAAAAACCAGTCCTGGGGAGGCTGAGAAGGGAGATCAAGTTTGAACCTCGGCTCCAAGCCCTCAGCACATGTTCTATTACCCCATCAGACTTCACTTACAAAACACAAATTGAAAGAAAATTATTAAGAATTTCAAGACAGTGACACAGAGCATCATGGCCCAAACATAGTGTCCCTTCCTAAGCATGGGCCCTGTGTGACTGCCCGTCAAATGCCCATGAAGTTCACTGCCTTCTACACAGGTGAAGTTGTTGGTTCAAAGTGCATGTGCAATTGCAGTTTTAATAAATGTTGATAAATTACCCAGCACAAAGTTGTATACTTTGTACAGGTGGACACACTATACCTCTCAGCTTTCTCCTCTGTAAATGGGGGATACTGACATCCACCTCATTAGGGCTGTGAACAGAATTACATGAATGACCCATGGGAACTGTGAATGGTACACAGTAAACATTCTGTAAGTTCCGTTATTAGCTCTCACTTGCAGTGATTTTTCTTCTGGAACTCCCTCTAGTGGTATAAATCTCAGGAGGAAATTGATATTTTCTTTTCCACTTTTGTGGTCTTATTTTCATAGTATATGTGTGTTTAAACTGGTCTGCAAATTCCATGGAGACTCAATGACCGATAGACTGTAAAATGTCTAATTTATATCTGTTTAGCCCAGTGTTTCATGGGTCTGCAGGAAAAATGAGAACACTGATCTGAATCAAGCTGATGCAGGTACCCAGCAAGTGAGTTCTTGTACCCAAAGGTTTACATTTTATCTATTAACATTTTCCCCCATTTTGGTGTCTTTTTTGTTATTATTCTGAAAATTTTTCATTTTTCAAAAAGAAAAACATTCAGCTTGTTATGAATCAGGTGAGTCAAACACTTAAGCTTACTTACCTGTGCCCCCCAATAAATGGGAATGAATTTGTGCTGATTTTGAGCAAAATGTTATGAGTTGTCCTATGGAAGAGGCATTAAACTGTTCTGCAGGTCCTCGTGGGGTAAAACAATTAGGTGCAAATCCTCGAAGGTAGATTTCAGTTCAATACAAAGGAGAATCTTCTCTCCATCAGAACCGTCCAGCCCTGGCGGAGACTGAGGGAGCGAGCTTCCCATCCCTGGACATCCAGCCAACATAGAATGGGAAGTTAGGCTAGGTAACTCTAAGGTTTTTCCCTAGCTATAAGACCCTATGAGAATATACATTTTCCTTGCTCGTCTTTTTTTCCCGCTCCTGCTGCCTCCTTTCCATCTCCCCGACGCCTTCACTCTCCACCAACATTCCCTAAGGATCTTGCCGGGGAAGGCCCAAGAGGCGCTCCCAGTCTGCCTCGCAACAGCTGACGTACTCGACTTCCCGCCGAGAATTGGTTGCCAGAAGCCCTTGGGGGCGGAGAATAAGGCGGTGACTACACATATTCAGGCAAAAGCGAGGCGCTTGCGGACCGTGCAGTGACATCCAGTTGCAAAGGGCAAAGCTTTTCTTGCCCTTTCACTTCAGACCCATCGCCCTTGGTTACCTGCCTTCCTCCCCTGTCCGCTTCGTTCCTCTGCTTTTGTCCAGCCTGGATTAT